CAAAGGAAAAAGTTTTGCCCATGTGGAAGAGGTGAAACAAAAACAACAGAAGCACTAAAAGGCATCAAAGTTGACAAGTTTGAAAACTGTTTTGAACAGTGGAAAAGTGTCTCAATAGGTGTATTGCATCAAACGGAAAGTCCTTTGAACATGACTGAAGTTTAAGCATGTAAGAATAACTACACAATTTTTTATAAATAAATTCCAGGATTTTGGGGGGAGTCTTCCCTCATATATACATACATACATGCATGCATGAACACTAACTGTCATGTGACGATCTGGGTAGGATATACAAGCATTCTTGAATAGATAATTTAGAATAACAGGGCATTCAGCTTTTGCTCACAGGACCTAAAGAAATTCAGGAGACCCATGGAAAATTGTTTCCTCACTGTTATTCAGAAATTAGTGTATTCATTTAAAGATAACTCTAATTTTGTTCTTTCAGTATTTTTCATTTATTATATACTGTTTAACATACATGCCTAAAATGATAGGGAAGGTATAAAGAGTCTGTTAGTCCTTTGCAGATTCAGGGCAAATAATACAGTTTACTCATTGTCCATGGAATAACATGTGTGATACTAAAAAGATGATGAAAAATATTCTAAGGTAAAGAATTTTGGAAGAGTTTTCTAAAATGCTGACTTTTTCAAGTTGTCATGAAAGAATTCAGAACAATTCATTATCCAGATTATTTATTGTTACTAAGGGGTCATCTGGACTTTTAAAATTTCTGTTAACTGTCTAAACCTGTTGCTTTATTCATGCAGCCTCTTCTTATTACAGGAATAAGAGGAGGAAAAAAGCCATTTTTTCCCTTCCAATTTCAAATTGTAGTCTTATATTAAAGTGTAATGGTCTTTTGTTTTCACTGTTAGCAGAGACTTATTTTATAGTAAGTAAAATTTGACTTATTTCAAATGAGATACAATTCAAAGTGAAGAGAAAAATCCTCTGAATGATTTTTTTTTTTTTTAAGAAAATGTATTTGTTTCAATTCTTTGAAAGATGTGGATAGGATTTGGTAAAGTTACCTAATTTGTGATTACTTCCTTATTGTGCACACCCAAATTGCATTTTGCAAAGAATATTCTGATATGTGAAATCCCAGAGAACCTGCTGAAGATTCTTTTCCACTTAGGATCACACTTATTTTTTTATTTATTTATTTACTTACTTATTTATTTGAGTCGGAGTCTCACTCTGTTACCCAGGCTGGAGGACAGTGGCATGCTCCCAGCCACCGCAGCCTCGACCTTCCAAATAGCTGGAACTACAGGTATGCACCACCATGCCTGGCTAATTTTTTGATTTATGGTAGAGATGAGGTCTCACCAAGTTGCCCAGGCTGGTCTCGAACCTGCGGATCACGAAATCCTCTCACCTCGGCCTCCCAAAGTGCTGGGATTATAGGCATGAGCCACCGTGCCAGGCCTAGGATCACTTATAAATTTTGAATGTCATTTAGCAACACAGCAGGAATTAAAACCTTGACGACTGTGGTCCCTGCTGCCTTTCCTCTCTGTAATAGTGGAATACCTGAAATGAACAAATGATATGACGTTTGTTTCATGTGATTCTAGTTTTCAGTTATTTGCAAGCAGTTTAATTCCTTTCATATCTTCTATTGTCACATAGTTATAATTTGACAAAATATCTGCTAGCTTTTTATCTTATCCTTCTTGGCCTACTAAGTAAAACTGTTGATCTCTATCCGCAGAACAGTTTAGTATCCACTCACCAAAGTGATCAGAAATCTAGTAGGTACATACTATATTTTAGAGGGTATTAAATAAAAATCATGGTTTGTCTTTGAGCATTACAAATATGCAACTATTGGTTTAGATATTTCTATTTATATTATTTTGAATTACAGCTGAGTATTTTGGTTTTAATTAGATTAAAGGGATATCAGGTGCTTGGGAGTTGCAAGCACAAGGTGAGAAGACTAGTTTATTTTCTGTTTTATACGTCTACTTTGGGAATATATGTTTTCAGCTTTATTGGGTGTAAATTTGCATGCAATTTAAGTTTATAGTTTGAGGAGTTTTGACAGATGTTTAAATTGTGTAATCACTACCTCATCATGACAAGAACATTTCTGTCAGCTCAAAGGCTGCCTTTTGTCCCCTTGCACAATTAGTCTTCTGAGCATCGCACAAATCACACTCATATGTGTGCTGTCACTACAGTTTTGCCTCTTCTAATTATTATGTAGATAGAACCATATAGTAGGTATTTTTTTGTGTCTGACTTGGTTTTTTAACTTAGCAATAGTACTCTTGTGATCAATCAATATTGTTGTTTGTACCAGCCATTCATGCCTTCTTATTGTGAGTTTATTGCTTTGCATGAACAAATTACAATTTGTTTACCTATTACCATTTGATGATACTCTGGGCTGTTTCCAATTTGGAACTGTCATGAATTAAAGTGCTCTAGAAGTTTTATAGTTTTTGCTTTAATATCTACGTATATGATGTATTCTGAATTCATTTTTGTAAATGGTAAGGTTTGAGATCTTAGGGAGTGTTTAAAAATTTGTTTGTTTACATATGAATATCCATTTGTTATAGCATCATTTGTTCATAACAGTATTTTTTCACCATTGAAATGTCTTTGCACCTTTGTCTAAATTAGTGGATCATATATGTGAGGATCTGTTTGTGAATTTTCTCTTTTTTTCACTGATCTATATTATATACCAGATCCACACTGGTTCGATTAATGCAGCTTTTATAGTATGTCTTAAAATCATGTAGTGGTTAATTTGAGGACAACTGACACCTGTATTGAGTCTTCTGGTGTATAAAGATGGTATTCCTTTTTGTTTGTCTGTTTATTTATTTATTTGAGTCAGAGGGTTACTCTGTCACCCGCGCTGGAATGGCAGTGGCATGGTAATGGCTACTGCAGCCTCTACCTGCTAGGCTCAGACAATCCTCCTGCCTCAGCCTCCCAAGTAGCTGAGACTACAGATGTGTGCCACCACGTCTGGGTAATTTTTTTTATTTACATTAGAGAAGCAGTCTAACTATGTTGCCCAGGCTAGTCTCGAACTCCTAGGCTCAGGCAATCCTCTTGCCTTGGCCTCCCTAAGTGCTAGGATTGCAGGCTGAGCCACCAAGCCTGGCCACTTAAGTATATTTTGATAGTTTAGTAGCTTGTATAGTTTCATGGAATGCTACCTTTTCATCTAATTTGATGAATTTATTGCAGTAAAGTGTATAACATTCTTTTATTCTTTCAGCATCTTTACAATCTGTAATGAAGTCCTTCTGTAATTCCTGATACCAGTAATTTGTAACTTGTATTTTGTTCTCAATCAGTTTAGCTAGAGTTTTATTTATATTATTGACCTTTTTAAGAAACCAACTTTTGGTTTCATTGCTTTTATTGTTATCCTTTTTTCATTTCATTGACTTCTATTCTTTATTGTCTTTATTCTGCTTTGGATTAATTTACTCTTGAAGTTTGTTTTTTTTGAGTTGGAGTCTCACTCCATCACCCAGACTGGAGTGCAGTGGCACACTCCTGGCCACCGCAGCCTCGACCTGCTGGGGTCTGGTGATCCTTCCGCTTCAGCCTTCCAAGTAGCTGGAGCAACAGGCACACTCTACCACACCCAGCTAATTTTTTTGATTTATTGTAGCGATGAGGTCTCGCCAAGTTGCCCAGGCAGGTCTCAAACCCACAGGCTCAGGCAATCTACTCACCTCAGCCTCCCAAAGGCGCAGGATTACAGGCTGAGCTACCGAGCCCAGCTGTCTTTTTCTAGTTTCTTAAGGTGGAAATTTAGATCACTGATTTGAGACCTTCTTTCCTAATATTTCCATTTAATGTTATAAGTTTTTCTCTTAGCATCGCTTTAGTTGTGTTCCCACAAATTTTATATGTAATTTTTAAAATTTGTATTCAGTTTAAAATATTTTCTAATTTTCTTTAATATTTTTATTTGATTTATGGGTTATTTGGAAGTTTGGTTTTTTAAAATTTCCGAATATTCATTTTTTTTTCCCCAAGTACCTTTTGCTTTTGGTTTCAGATTTAATACTGTTGTGATCAGAAAACTTACTTTTTATTATTTTAATTCTCTTAAATTTGAGATTTGCCTTATGCTATAGAATATTTGTTTTATGCCACAGAATATGAGCAATTCATGTGCTTGAAAAAATGTGTATTATGCTATAATTGGGTGGAGTGTTCTAAATGTGATGGTTAGATAAAATTGGTTAATTTTTTTCAAGTTTTCTGTATCCTTGCTGATTCTTTGTTTACTGATCTTATCGATTAACTGAGGGAGAAGTGTTGAAATCTTCAATGGTAATTTTAAAAATTAGTTCAAGTTTATAGAGAGGGTTATAATGTTAAGAAGATTTGGAGTTGTAAAGGCTAAATAGAAATTTCTTTTTTTATTTTTGTAGAGGAGAGTAGATTTGCTTTTTAGCATTACGCAGACTTGTCATTTTAGTACCAGTCCTGCTGTTTATTACTTTAGCAACCTCTCTTCGCCTTTTTCTTCTTTGTATAAAGACAAGCTTCGTGAAGCTATTGTGGCGATTCATAGAGATAATATATGTAGAATTTGTTACATAGTATGTGGTATATAGTAATTCTCATACAGAAATTTTTTTCTGTATTTTTGAAACTTGCAAACTGAGGCATCACATATGTATTTTGGTGTTCAGCTGATTTCATCTGTTGCTCTATTAAAATTTCACCCTTGGCCTACACCATGGCTTTAGTCTTTGTATATCTTTTTCAACAGTTTTTGTATGCCTAACTTTTATTAACAAGCTCTTTAGAGCCTTGATTAAGTACAGATTGCCTGGGTTGTATTGCAGAAAGGTTTTTTTTTTCATTGACATAATTTTACTCACTTTGGATTAAAGAAAAAGATAGGCATATTGATACAGTAGATACAGTTTCAGCAGCTGTAAAATCATCTCATGTTACTTTAATATCTGAAACTTGGTGTTTTCCTTTTCTTTCAGATAAATAGAGAAAACTGGTGTACAATAGAGCCATGCCCTGATGCAGCATCTCTTTTGGCTTCCAAGCAGAACCCAGGTAAGCTGAGATTTTCCATCCATTTTCTGGAGCCACAGTCTCACTCTAGTAACAGATCATTTTATTTGGAGAGCTGCCCTTCCTTTGCATGTCATTCAATAAATCAAAGAAAGAATTATATGATGTGATTTGATTTTGTAAGCATTTTGTCTTACAATTGAAGATGAGCACGTGTAATTACTTTTATTTTAGTAATAACAGACTTCATGTGTGGCTTTATGATTTTTAAATTCATTTGTGAAGGCACGTGCTATGCATATACATACACGTTTTTTTAATCTGGTAGAATTATAAATATGTTATGAAGGACTTAACCAGGGGTTCTCAATTTCTGCTGCACATTAGAATTATCTGGGCAAACAAGCTTTAAGCATATACTGATGCCTGAGTCTTGTCCCCCGAGATTCTGACCGTGGGGTGTAGCCTGGGCATCAGAATCTTTATAAGCTCCTTTGATTGCCCTATTGTGTAGCCAAGGTTGAAAACAATTATACTTTGGAAGTATTGTCAGGAATGGAGTCTTTCCTTCATCACCTCTGAGTTAGTAGTAACAATCCATAGGGTAGGAGACTCTTATGGCCTTGCTTATTAATGACCCAGTGCATGACTTGTGGTTAGTTAGGATTTCCACCTTTAAAACCAGGTTTAGCCACTAACTCCCTGTGGCGTAAAGTGTGTTCCCTCATGTCTATGTCCTCTATTGTCTCTCATCTGTAAAGTGTTACTAACTTGCCTTACTGGGTGGTAGTGTACAGATGACATGGCGAGTAATTACAAGTCCCTGTGTCTGTTCCTATAGCTGTTAGGTGAATACTAGTAATTTACATTATGAGTTTTTGAGATTGTTGAACCCAGCAAACACTGTTTACTTTCCCATTTTTTACTGATCCGCTTCAAAAATTACCTAGAACTTCTTATTTGCTGGTCTTTTAAGAAAGTTTAGCTTTAGTTGCCCTGCAGTAGAGTTAAAACCAAATTTGTTTAAAGAGGTTTCCTGCTGGTTCTCACCTCTCTGATTTTTCTACAAAGAATGTATTGAAAACAAACACGAAAAGCATTTTTTTGTTCTCACTTTTTGAGAGTGATTAAAGGGTATATTATGCTATTGTGTTTAGGATCTCCAAGTTTTATAAGATAGAGACTTCACAGATTTAACTGACACCTTTCCTGCCTTCTGCCTAGAATCGTCTACTTAAATGTATACTACTGACTACATTTTGGTTCCTTAACTTGTTTGGGACTTTTTCTAAAACTGTAATTACTCCCAACCACCCAAACAGTGAAACTTTCTACCAAGTAAAGGTTAAATGAGGTTGCTCAGAATTCGAATTTTCATAGGAGGAAGAGTCTCCACAGGTTGTTGTTTAAGCTGTTCATTTAGAGATATGATTTTGAATCCCTTTGAACATATTCTCCAGGGCATAATTTTGAATTTTGTCATAATTATTTTAAGATTTCAGTTTAAACAAAATCTAGGGTCTGATTTATGCTACTGAACTTCAGACTTGAGATTTTTATTTTAGGTATTGTTTTTTTGTGAATCCCAGCTACTTTGCTTTGCAGGGCTTTTTTCTTTTACTTTTTAAATACTTCTCAAGAGACAAATAGTATTATACTAAATAAGGAAATATTTTGAAAAATAAATTTGTAGGCCGGGTACGGCCTGGGTGACAGAGTGAGACTCCAACTCAAAATAATAATAATAATAATAATAATAGTAATAATTTTGTATACTCTTCATTCCTGGATAAATACAAGGTAGGATTAAGATTACCATGGGTTAGTTTAAGAACTTTAACTACAATTAGTTTAACTACAATTTGTTTGCATCTATGTCATGTCTAGATAGCATCTTTAAAAGTGTATGTTCTGCCGAGCTCGGTGGCTCAGCCTGTAATCCCACGCCTTTGGGAAGCTGAGTGGATTGCCTGAGCCCACGGGTTCGAGACCCACCTGGGTAGCGAGACCTCATCTCTACAATAAATTTTTAAAAATCAACCGGGCATGGTAGCGCATGCCTGTAATTCCGGCTACTTGGAAGGCTGAGGTGGAAGGATCGGCGGAGCCCAGCAGGTCGAGGCTGCAGTGGCTGGGAGCGGCCACTGCACTCCAGTCAGGGCAACCGAGTGAGACTCCAACTCAAAAAAATTAAATAAATAAAATTAAAGAAATGTGTATGTTCTGCTGGCGTTAAAACACTAATAACTTCAGTACACAAAATTACAGACAGATTTGTATATGGCCCGGCTGTACCCATCTTCAAGGTAGTGTCATCCAGATGCTTACTGAATCAAACTTTAAAGGTTAATGAAGCCTTAACTTCATTAGGTACATCTAGCACACACCTGCTGTGTGGTGGGGACCAGACCTTTGGCTACTGTATTGAAATGGAAATTTAGAGAGGACAAATTACTTCTTGCCTGCAATCTTGCCTATAATGAGTAGTCAGACCTAAAGTTAAGCCAGATCATTCAAACTCTAAAGCCAGGGTTCTTTGCTCTTGTTTACACTTTGCTATCCTGCTCCACATTATTCCTTAGAAAGGGGATATAAAGGAAGAAGGGAAAAATTGTATTAAATTTGAAAATTGACCAACACACAAGACACAGGGCATGGATTAGCTTTGCCTTTAGGGATCCCCCTTCACATGGTTGTGGAGGTTCTAATGGCTTATGGTCCTTATCTCTTCCTTTTTTTATTTCTCTTCTTCCTACCCTAACAGTCAACACAATCTCACACAGTGGACTCTTTTTATCCCATACTTGTTCTCTTGTAGTGCTAGCTTGAGTTTATTTTCTGGGTGAGCTGTTCCTACCAGGGCTGAATTTTCCATTAGAATATCTTGAGCTGGTTTGTTTTCCAGTCTGAAATCTGGACGTGGTCTGTTAGACTGCCAGCTGGACAGCTAGCATCTCAGCATAGTTGCTGTGACAGCCCTTTCTTTCTTGGCCAGCCCCCCTATTTTTCCCTCAACCATGGAATGGAGTTTTTGATTTTTCCAAGTGGGAAACGAGAAGAATAGAAAGAGCACACTCACCAACTCCTCCTGAGTTACTGCATACTCTGTGAAATGGGGGTGAGGGAAGGGAAGAAACATTCAGAATACCCATAATTTCCAGTCTTTTAAAGGCAGGGCTATTAAAAAAAAAAAAAATCCATGGGTCCCGCCTCACTTTTGTATAACTTTTTGTTGAAATTGTCTCTTAATATATTCATTTCTATCACAAGATTGAAAACTGCCTCCCACCAACACTAAATATCTTTTTACTTGACTACTTCCAGTACCTAGTCAGATGTGTAACTAACAGAAAAGATCATTTTGTTGGCAAGCTATTCATGACTTATACCAATCCAGTGCTCAGCTGACCTTTCTTCTAAGTTACCAGGGGCAAATAAGTTAATGATTATCAATTATTAATTATTAATTAGAACTTTTCCACTTTCAGTGTGTGTGCATGCACACAAACAAAATTACAATGCAAGCGTAGAATCTAAGAATCAAAGGAGACTACAAGTTATCTAGTCCAGTCTCTGCTTCCTTCTCTGTCTGGATATCTCTTCCGTAATATCTTGACATAGTCATTCAGTCTCTGCTCCAGTTCTCTGGTAAAGTGAGTACTTTATGAGACTGCCAAACCCATTGCTCAGAAGTCATAGTGAAGCTTTGCAGTTTACACTCAGTGTTCTTTGTTCTGTCCCCTGAACAGCACAGAGGGAAGCTATGACTGTCCTTAGGAATATTTTCTTCAAGGTCTTCTGAAGCTGAATGTATCTCAGGTGTTTTCACTGTTGTGACCTCATTATTTTGTTTTTATTTAATTTACTACATGCTAGATTACATTTTTGTTTGTCAGTGTTCTGATTAAATGTTTTCTAGGAACAAGCACAATCCTGTGAGTATGATCTGGATAGCACATAGTAACAGGACTGTCCCCATTTTAGATTCCAATATTCTATCTATTAATAGAGTGTAAAACTATTAGTGTTTCTGTTACTGTTTTGCCATCACCTTGTACAGTTAGTTTCTTTTAAATTTGCTTTCAACAAAAACCTCTAGTTAGATTTCTCATGAACTGCTAGATATCCAGGTTTTTATTCCTCTGTTTATCACTTAGAGTCACCTGCAGATTTGATGAAGTATGCATATATGTCTGTCCAGATCACACATTAACCTTTTCCACTCAGATGTCCCCTCTCAGGGGACATAAAGATATTACTAGTGATTATACAGGACAAACTCATGCCAGCACAAGATTTTTTAAAGTGTATGTTTCCTTGAAGTTGTCCATTCAAATTGCATGAAAAAGCAAATAAAGAGGTGGAACATATACTGAGATATATGTAAAAGACAAGCAGCTGGCATTAAGTAGAAAGAGACCAATGTGCTTTCACAATGGTACACAGACTAGATAATAAGTTACATTTTATTAAAATACTGAAATGGAGATGCATCACTTTTATATTCAAAACTCCTTGAAAAAGTTTTATATCCACCCAATAATTGACTTTTGGGTGGTTGTTTTTACCATCCACAAACCTCTTTTTTTTTTTTTTGAGTTGGAATCTCACTCTGTCACCCAGACTGGAGTGCAGTGGCCGCTCCCGGCCACCGCAGCCTCAACCTGCTGGGCTCTGGCTATCCTTCCACCTCAGCCTTCCGAGCAAACCTCTTTAACCCTATTGCTACCAGGTCACGTGTCCTTTTTGCTACAGAGTTAAATAGGAGAGAAGAGCTAATTCCTTGTTAATTATAGGCTACTAATTTTTAGGTTTACTCAGTGTTTTGTCAAGGACCCCTCCCCCTGGTTCACCAGAATCTTCATTCTAGTTACTGAACTGGAAACAGATTCTAGGTGATATAGTTTTCTACTTTTTAGTACATTATTTTCCCAATATAATATCTATTTAAGGTAGGAAAAATTAAATTATATTTCTGTTATTGCTCAGGAGAACCCATAAGTTTAATATACTGATAAGTTTATTAGGTATGCCCCCCCTTTTGGTAAGGTAAGATGCTTCTGGCAAGAATTTTAATCTCAAAACAGAAGTTGGCCGCAAACCCTATCACATAGTTTACTAGTAATGGACTTTGGATTTTGGTGGCAAAAGAAAAATAATTTCCTAACTACAAAGAGGAAAATATTATTATTTAGGTACTTTCATAGAAGTAGGATATAGTTCCAAATCATTATTTTATCTTTCTGTGCCTAAGATAAACATGGCAAACTTATGATTTTCCTGTAGTAACTGTATCAACCTAGAATTGGAGTAGAGAGCTGAAGCTAAAGTATTGGTGAATGCATTTTCTTTTTCAGAATGTGAGAACTTACTGGATGTTGGACTGGGCAGAGAGTGTGCCTCAAAACAAGGTGTACTTAAAAGAGAATCTGGGAGTGATTCTGACCTCTTTCACTCACCCAGTGATGACATGGACAGCATCATCTTCCCAAAGGTATTGAGTGTACCTTTCTTTTGTCTTTGTCTATCACCTCTCATGTTCCTAGTTGCTCTTTCCTAACTTTTTTTTCTCTATCCTCCTTTTTTTTTTCTCTCATGCTCATTGTCTTCCCAAGGCATATTGTTTCCCTAAATATTTAACTCCCGAAAGTGAGTTGTGATCCAGCAACCTGGTAGGGCCTGGTTTACTCTCAGAGGAGTATAAATGTTACCTTTTGAGAAGCAAACACCAGATTGCCAGGGCTTAGAAAAAGGCATTGGCCAAATGTATCTTCTGGGAAATCATGGCTGGTTACTTGCAGATTTTGAAGCTCACATTGAAGTCTAAAGAAATACAAGTTCCTTTAGAAAGAATTAAGTCAGATGTTGGTGAGCACTTCTCAGTGGGCAGGAAGGGACCGCAGATCAGACTGTATGATGTCATGTGTATAAGCTAACCATAGAGTCATTTCTGATTAATGTGTTTAGGCCTGAAGCTTGCTCCTGAGCATGATGATATCACCCTTCCTCATCTAGCCTGTTTAATTGGAATTTTCTAGATCTCTGAGGAACCCAAGCTTTCTCCCTAGTGAAAAACTCATCCACATGAATCAGCTCATGTATGCATATAATTTGAGGCTGCCTAAGGGATATGGGGGATGGGGGAGCTTTGCTTTCTTTTGCTTATGTTTGTTTCTAGTTGCAGCAAGTTCTTTTTTGTCCCCTGGGAAGAATAGAGGGCTTTCCCACAGCAGAGACAGCAAATGGTACTCAATTACATCCCACAAGTGGTTTTCTTAATAGTAAGGGGGTAAAGGGACAGAAACATTGTGGCAGCTATGAAAAAGACTGTTCCTTCTGGTTTTATGATGACTTTGGAGAAGTGGTGAGAGCAGTTGTGTTAGTGGGTGATTAGGTTATCCAAGGTGATGTGATGGTGCTGTGTAAGAATTGTGATGTAAGAATGGAATCTTAACATTCTGGAAATCTGGAACATATTGAAGTGTGTGTGAATGTATCCTGTGTACCTTCCTGCCCTAGCCTTTTCTCTTGCGCACGTTGTCTTCCCAAGGCCCTTGGAAAGATTTATGATACACGCATCAGGAATTCTATCGTTGTTACTCATAGTAAGTTGACTTAAGAAATTCTGCAAAGCAAAAACTCCACAAGTTTGGAAGATCTGCTCTTTTCTGAAGTTATTTAGGAATAGGGAAATCAATGAGGTTTTTTAAAAAACATCAGAATGTGGGTAATTTATACTGTGACTTTGAGGCTTTAATTGTAGGACTTTTCTTCCCCTTGAGGGAAATACCATTCTGAAGGTACATGTTTCTAAAAGCATGCTGCTTTTGTCTGAAATAAACAGATTAGACAGTATCTTGAAGTTCCAGCTTTAAAATGGGATCTTTGATAATCACTGAAACTGGACCCTAGATACAGAGAGATTTGACAAAACAATTTATGAATGTTTGAAATTTTTCATAGTAAAGAAGATTGTTTTTATTGATATGTCATCATTAAGCAGTACTTGCTGGGTGCCGGCGATCCTTCTGCCTCAGCCTTTCAAGTAGCTGGAACTACAGGCATGCACTGCCACGCCTGGCTAATTTTTGATTTATTGTAGAGATGAGATTTTGCCAAGTTGAGAATTTCATATGTTTTACTTTCTTAGTCTGCCAAAAGTAATAGAAAGTTGCTTATACAAATGGCTTATGCTAGATTTGGCAGTTTGTTGTTGTTGTCTTTTTCTTCAGGGAAAAAAAACATAATTTTTACAAATTAACTATACTCCCCGGCCAAGCGCATTGGCTCATGTCTATAATCTCAGCACTTTGGGAAGCTGAGGTGTGAGGATTGCCTGAGCCCATGGGCTCGAAAGCAGCCTGGGCAACTTGGTGAGACCTTATCTCTACAATAAATCAAAAAATTAGCTGGGTATGGTGGCACATGCCTGTAGTTTCAGCTACTTGGAAGGCTGAGGTAGAAGGATCACCTGAGCCCAGCAGGTCGAGGTTGCAGTGGCCATGAGCATGCCACTGCACTCCAGCCTGAGCAACAGAATGAGACTCCAACTCAAAAACAAGTATACTCCCCAAATAAACTTTTACCTACATTTCATAACAGACTGCTTAGAGAAAACCGGAAATGGTGGGCACTTCTCAGCTCTCCATGTATGCATGAAAATGTCTAAATGACCTTGGAAGAGATCAAGAGGGTTTTTCCTCTTAGTATTTCTACTTTACCAAAGTAGTTTATGACCGGGAGAAGCTTTGCTGTAAATGTTTTCTTTGGCATTATTAAACCAATGGTTTACTTTTGAAAAGGAAAGAAGCAAAACAAATTAATATTGACAGAGTGCTTAATGTACAATAGGCACTGAACTGGATTTTTATATGTTTGATCTCATTTCATGTGCCCAGAAACCCTGATAGGTAGTGATTTTATCCTCATTATACCCTTGAGAAAGTAGAAGCTCTGACTGGTAAAGAAATGTATCCAGAATAACCTAAGTCAGCTGAGCAACAGAATTGAGACCTGACTCTAAAACTCATTCACTTTTAAATTTTGATCTCAACCTCCAGAAACCTGCTCTAATAACCAGTGGTTAAATAAAAGCATGGCACCAGCAGATAGGCCATCAGCTACTTCCTTAAAAAGCCTTCCTCAGTGGTTACCCACACAGCATGTGCTGCGAAATATCAAAATGCTCCGGGATTTCTTCCCAGGGCTTAGCCTTCTTCTCCTTTCTTTTCTAGAAAATAATCTGTAGGCAGGACATTGCAACATCTTTTTCTGTGAACCATGAGTGGTGCGTTAGGTCACTTCCTGCCCCCATTTATGTCACTCTGGCCCTACAGAGGTCTTTTTTAACAGCCTGTAATGTTTGTCATGAACTTTTCACCTTAACCTTGTATTTCTAGCCAGTATTTATCAAATAAAACTCTTCTGTGTTATGAGCTTTATGCTTATTCTTACAAATATTTGATGTTCCTGATGTCTTTCTTCTTTTTAGTTCAACAGCATAAAATTTAGATTTTGTTTTTAAAGTGAGAAGAAATCCTGGAATTCTTTTGATACTAGCTAAGATAAAGTGTGGTCATAAAATATAAATGGTGTAGGCTACTCTGCTATCCCAAAGGATAATTAAAGTCAACAGGAAATATTTATAGTTGCTGATCTTTTCCCAAAGAGAAGCAAATCAAAACCCTTATGCTTATTTTCCCCCCAGGTTAGAAGATATATCTGCAATTGATAAGAAAATCAAAGTGACTTTTCGAAGATACAGAACTTTAAGGGAGCATCCTTTCTTTTATATGCTGTAGTTTGCTTTCAAGTACTTGATCACCAAGCCAAAAAAATTACCTTTTTGGAAGAGAAAAATACCTTTTAGAGACAAAAGCAAATAAATTTATAGAATCTGAATTAGAAAAACTACTGCCTATGCATAAGTACTGAAGTTATTAAAATTTTAAAAACTGTGGACCAGTGATAATGCTTGTGACAGGTACTTAAGAGTCTTAGATAAAATATTGTACATCAATAGCTTTGACTTGCATTTCCTTGACAACTAATGGTGTTAAACACATTTTCATGTGTTTACTGGCCACTTGTATGTCTTCCATTATGGAATGCCTTTTCAAATCTTTTGCTCATTTTTAAAACTTAGATACTTATATTGGAAGGTGGGAGTTCTGTATATATCCTGGATACCAGTCCTTTGTCAGATTTATGTTTTGCAAATATTTTCTCCCAGTCTGTGGCTTGCCTATTCATTTTCCTTATAGCATCTTGATGAGCTAAAGTTTTTCATTTTAATGAAGTGTAATTTATTAATTTTTTATCATTATTGCTTTCTGTGTCCTGTTCTATTATTTATTTGCTTGCTCCTAGCCTTAATGTTTTTCATTAGCTGTTTTATAGTTTTAGCCTTATGTTTATTATTAGAATCTATCTCAATTTTATTATGCACATTTTAATAGCAGTTCTGTCATTTATAGTAGTAGGATTCGATCCTAGCTGTACCTAAAATCACTTGGAAAGCTTAAAAAAGAAAAAGGTGCACCTGGACTCTACCCCATACCAGTTAAATTAGAATCTTGAGTTTATTATTTAACGTCACTGAACTTCAGTTTTCTCCCTTATTAAATGAGAACAACAGATTTACTAAATTGAATAATTGCAAGGATTAAAAGAATTAAAGTAAATGAAAGATTATGTATAAATCACTTAGCATAGAGTCCCACATGTGATGTGTAGCCGTAAATAATTTTTATTCAAATTCATGTTATAGTTATTTTGCACATATATTTAAGAATAACAACAGCTTTTTGGCTTTATTAGACATCATCATCATTTTTAGGTCTTTTCATTAATTTTTAGCTATGTAATTACTTTGTAATTTAGAACTTCCTAGTTTATTCGACCTAAAATTAAACGTAACAGTGTTCTTGGGTCACTCAGCATTTCTTCAACTCAGCTCCTGCCACTGACTTTCATTCTCCCACATGTAGGAAGAAAACCAATTGTGAAAGCTCAAAGGAGGAAAGATTTTTGTGTCATTGTCAGGGATAGAATCTGTCTTAGTTTCCCCAGTGTGTTTTCTTTCTCACATGCATACATGACTCTTTCTTACACCTCTTTTGTGTCTATCTTTCTAGATCTCTTCTACTTCTTCACCCTAACCAAGTCTTATATTCCTCCATAATAACTTCATATTAAGAAAAACAAACAAACAAACAAACAAACCACTTGTATTTAGCAGAGAATTATGTTTTAGTCATCTACTTATAAAGCTTGAAATATCACCCAGTTTGACTCCATGTAAATTTTGTTAGTTAAACTTATCTCATGGTGTCATTCCTCCAGACAATCAGGTAATATCCTAAGTCCCTGAAAGTTATTTAATTAGCAGACACTCAAGATAAACCAATTTCTCTAAAGAAAGACTGACACATAACTCAAGAATTCTCAAGAGGGACTTCAGACCTTAGGTATGGAACATTCTGTTGTGTGTCAGAAGCCATATTTTTCCCCCCTTCTAATATATAATGGAAAAACAGCATCCCCAAGCATAGTACTTTTTTTGGCAGTACAGGGAGGGGAGGCAGAAAATGGGGGAAGTAATTGTTTTTATGTCTCTTATTTGACAGACCTCTGTAAGAACTTCAGCTAATAGATTCAGGAACTGGAAAGGAATTTTCTTTCAAAAAATGTCAAATTTTTAAAAAAATCCTGCCCTTTTTTCCCTCTGTCATTCATAATTTAAATAGATAGTACCTTTCAACAGGGTTATGTTAATTTTTAACCTCTATAGATCAAAAGATTCTTTATTTAAGTCTTTTATAATAGATAGAGAGGCAAAGTGAAAAAGTGACTTAGCCACAGTCATACACTTAGCTATAGAAAGGCTGTGACTATATTCTGGGTTTGATTTCTGGTTAGGCTACTGGCTGTTTTGTAGTCTGTAGGAATAGTGTAAAGACATGATGAAGTTGGGAAAACTATTTTGAAAACACTTAAAAGTCTTGGGAAAAAGTAATTTAGAGCTTCCTTTAGATTCAGTACAGAATTAAAGAAAACTATTTGCTTTAGCATTTAATAATTGAGCTCAGTTTGGAGTTTTGTCTTGTTTTTTCTTTTTCAATTAATAACCACCAGCTCATAATAAGAGCTGCATAGTACAGTAAAAATTCTGAGTATAAGAATATTATTCCAAGCCAGGCTTGGTGGCTCAGCCTGTAATCCCGTGCCTTGGGAGGCTGAGGTGAGTGGA